TAAAAGTTAACCGTGCCAAAAAGACCAAAACGGAATCTATTTACAGAACCCACTTACAATAGATACAGCCAATGGCTGCACCAATAAGTATAGCAACCGCAGCAGAGCGAAATAAATTTTTTTTTTTAATTTTTAATAAACTTTTCCCCCGAAAGATCTGTTAAGCTTTCTATTACGCAACTTTGATTCCCGACAAAGAATATGGTACCAACTACATTGGGCGCAAAAACTTTGCTTTTTTGTAACGGTGTCGCATCGGTGAGAACACTAACGCCCAATGGGTATCTGTTCTGTCTCCCTTCACTTCTGTATCATTCCACCACGCACCGCCTCGTCCACCTTTCTCCCTTCTTTCATTGCTTCTAATCTAGTCTTCCTTTTTGAATCTAGACCAAAACTGCTCCAAAGCAAGCAGACAGGATGATAAGTTTATACAAAAAAATTTTAGTAGGATGAAACGAGGGCAGACACCGGAAGAAGTGAGACGGAGGGAACAGTTAGGATGGGGGCACAGACAGGCCTCTTTACACCTGAAAAATCAAGAGAAGGCTGTAGTTAAACTATTTTTCTTTTACTTTTTGTGCATTATTTTCCCTTGTTTTGTTCCCATTGGTAATATATTTTTAATTTCCATTAGAAGATCAAATTAGAAGAAAATTTAAAGTATTTGAGAAAATTTTGGAGACCGAAAAGAATGTGAAAAAAGCATCTTTATATCCCTCCCTGATTTGTCTCATTATTAATTCCATGTGTAAATCTGTCACGATAAAGAACCAGACAATTCCCATTTCTGTTTTATAACATTAAAAAATGTTGTAAAAGAACATGCACTTCAACATATTAAAATTCGTTAATTACACTAGACCTATACATATAAATAAAGAAGAAGTGCCAAATATAAGAAATATTCAAAATTAGTCATAGGAAATAGAGCGGCGAAAACAGGGAGAAAATGTTGTCGAAAATTCCCAAATAATGCATAAAGGTCGCTGTCACGTCAACAACTTTTAGAGTTTACTCCTCGCTTTCAACCGTCGACGGTTTGGATACCGCTTCACCAAGCTCTTATCTTAATACCGAACAACTAGCAACCTATCTTGATAGTATTAACGACTACAGCAAATATCTTTCTTTGTGCTCAACAATTTGAACAAAAGTTTTCCCATTTTTTTGCTTAGGAGACGAAACTGATGTAATAGAAAACTGTAAGTATACGGGAAGTAGATGGGCAAATTCCCAATAAGTGAAGACTTAATTGTAAAAAACCTCAGTGATGTTTTGCAGAGCCGAAATTCATAAAAGGCTTCTTTTTGCGTCGACAAGATGATACTCCTACCGGCGACGAGAATGTTGTAGCAATGTGCGAGAAAAAGTAGGAAAGATGAAGAAATTAATAGAAGAAAATTATTAAGGATTCTGAAGTTGATTCCAAAGGTTAAGCGTTGTTGACTGTCAGTCAGCTGATGTCAGAAGAATGTTGCTTTTTTCTCGACAGAACAATTTCTTTTCAGTTTGTCAAAATAATAATAATAGTATGTTAATATAATATTGTTATTATTAATATTAATAATAATAATAATAATAATATTATTATTATTATTATTATTATTATCTTATTATTATTATTATTATAACTTTTATTCAGAAACATCATCATCAAGGAAATTATAATTGCACCGTTATTCATTGCGAGGCAGCGCTATTAAACGCAAATAAAATAGCAGAAAAAGACTGAATAGAGCGAAAAAAAGAAAGAGGAGATAGTTTAAGATTATACGAGGCTCTTGAACCTTCCATAAGTAATTCACAAATTTTTTCAGTTTGTACTACTACTGATGGGAAAGCTGAGTGCCAACAGTATTCGTAATGACTTCTGTAATTTTCTTTGAAAAAAACTTTCTTTTATTTACGAATATACATATATATATATATATATATATATATATATATA